GGTTGATGGGCACTTGGGCTTCTTCCATGTCCTAGCAATTGTGAATTGGGCTGCAATGAACATTCTGGTACAAATATCTGTATTATAATGTGATTTTTGGTCTTCTCGATATATACCTAACAGAGGAATTATAGGATCAAATGGCAGATCTATTTTTAGTTCTCTAAGTATTCTCCAGATGTTTTTCCAAAAGGGGTGTATTAGTTTGCAATCCCACCAGCAGTGTAGATGTGTTCCCTTTCAAAATAATTTCTTATTAGCTTCTTGTGTAGTTCATTTAAGCATGATGATTGGGTTTTCACATTCAGGTGTGAGAGGTACCTACTTTAAACCTTGTTACATCATCTATCTGATATAAACTTAGAAAAAACAATAATCATTTCTTAGACGTATACTAATTAACTTGGAGAGATTACTGCAATTAAGCGAAAGAGGTAATATGCTAAGAGGAATAATATAAACCTACCATGATAGCCCTAGCTCATTTATGTACATTCTGTATACACGCTTATATGTGATTATGTAAGGATGGAGAAAGAAATGGAAGAATACCAGAGATTGTTCACATCAGTTGGGATTGGGGAAGAACACTTTGTACTCTCTGCTCATATTGCCACAGTAAAAACAGCATGAATAATAATGATCCAATTTTTAAAAGAAAGTAAAATGTTTATGCTACAACTTAAGGTGAAAAATGTAGGTATAAAATTTTAGGCTGGATGTGGTGGCTCACACTTGTAATCCTAGCGCTCTGAAAGGCCAAGGCAGGTGGATTGCCTGAGTTTAGGAATTTGAGACCAGCCTATGCAAGAGTAAGACCCCATCTCTATTAAAAATAGAAAAACTAGCCACACATGGTGGTGGAGCCTATAGTCTCAGCTACTCAAGAAGCTGAGGTAAGAGGAGAGGATCACTTGAGCCCAAGAGTTTGAGGTTGCTGTGAGGTAACATGATGCCACAACACTCTACCCAGGGCAATAGAGACTCTGTCTCAAAAAAAAAAAAAAAAGAGGTAAGCTCCATTAACAGTTGTGGAAAGCATTCCAGGAAAAAAAGATTGACACGCAATACAAACAAATGATCGTGATAGAGTAGATCGTGTTTAAGTAGAGGCATTATAATTGTTTTTTCCCTCTATACTTTCCAGTTTTTCTCTAATGCATCATTGTTCTTTTGTAATTAACTAAATAAAATAGAATTTCTAACTTTCTATCAGTCACATCCCATTTATTATGTCTTAAAATTAGTGGCCATATGTACAAAGTGTGAACTTCAGGATGTCCTGGCTCTGAAAATGTATAATTTTTCATTTTACATATGATATATGGGTTAGATTATTTTGCTTGTTTGTTTTCATTTAGTTATAGATTAGATAACTTGATCCCTAGGAATAAATTATCCATAAAAATCCCATAAAAATATGACTTGACCTATTTCAAGACTTTCCCCCCCAAATTATAACAGAAATCACTTCTTATCCTAATTTCCAAAGCTGTGTGGCTTTGGGCAGTTCTCATCTCTTCCCCTCTCCAGGCCTCAGTTGCTTCACCTATCAATGAAGAAGTTGGATGAAATAATTTCCTAGAGTCTTTTTGGCTGTAGTATTCTGTGATTTAACTATATTCATCACGGAATGCATTAGATATCAAATCGATAAACAATTGCTAAGGAGAAGACGGTTTTCATCTTAGTAAAGCCTGTTGATCAGCTATGAAGAGAGATTCAAGATACCCTATCCTGACATCACTTTATGAAATCTGTGAAAAAATTCCAGTAGCATATTGCCTTTCTATATATTCCTCATTTATAGCTACATAGCTATTCCCCAGTGCCCTTTCATCCATGTGAACCCTCCCACCCTTGCCAACTTATGATTTTGCTTTGTGGACCTCAGTACGTGAATGAAAAGTCTCAAGTCAACTTTCTTCTGGTATAATTTACATAAAATAAAATGTACCAAATTAAAATTTACATTCAATGAGTTTTGACAAATGTATGCTCCCATGTAGAATGATCACAATTAAGCAACAGAACCTTTCTATCACCCTCCAAAGTTCCCTGTACCGCTGCCCAGCCATCCGTCCACCTCCTGTCCTAGGCAACTGCTGATCTGCAGTTTGTCACTAGAGATTAGATTTCTCTTTTCTAGAGTGATGAACAGAATTTGAATTTGTGTCTTCTCAATCTCGGATAGTGTTAACATATTTGTACTGTTTCAATCAGGCTTCTTAATTGCAAACAACAGAAAACAACCCCAGCTGATTTAAGCAGCATAGAAATTTGTTGAAAGGAGATGAGTAGCTCATAGAATTGCTGGAGACTAGAAAACCCAGTTTGGGATTATGTAGCCAACAACAATGCCCCCAGATCATATAATGCAACAGTTCTGGTAAGGAAAACACTACACACAGCTGGAGTTTCCCCAGTGTCTGTGCCAGGTCATGGTCACCACCACTATCTTTGCTACTGCTGCTTGTTTTTTGTTTTGTTTTGTTTGTTCGTTTTGAGATAAAGTCTCATTCTCTCACCTTGGCTAGAGTAATGTGGCATCATAGCTCACAGCAACCTTCAACTCTTGGGCTTAAGAGATCCTTTTGCCTCAGTTTTTCTGTTTTTAGTAGAGATGGTCTGGCTCTTGCTCAGGCTGGTCTCTTACTCCTGAGCTCAGGCAATCCACCTGTGTTGGCCTCCCCGCGTGCTAGGAGGTGTGAGCCACCACGCCTGACCTACTGCTGCTTGTTTTAACAACTCTTAGAAAGTAGAAAGAATATCAAGTATATCTGAAAATTTTCTGCAATTGCCAGTGTCAATTGAAGTGGGTGCATCTGAGTGTTATCTCCTGGGTCATGTGTCTATCAAGCCTCAGCTACAGGGGAAGCTAGAAGAACTTTTAACCTTGGTAGTGCCTCCATAGAGACATCTGATAATGCCTTGTAAGGGAGGGGAATTCTGTTAATGTAGGAAAGTGTTAAAATGCTGGATAGCCAAAAACAAGGCCAGTGTCCCCAACTTGATGTGTTTGTTAGATGGCATTTTGACCTTGCAGCTTCATGTCTAATGGTCACGAGAGCCAGGCCACATTTGATAAGCATCTCCTGAGTGCAGAGGAGTCTGCCAGATGCTGAACACAGGGACAAGGCCATTAAAGAACTTACAGTTTCATGACATCGAAACAGGTATATTAGCCTTCATACTTGCTCATGTTTTGTCTTCCTAAGATAATGTCCCTAAACTATAACCCACTCACAAAATTAATGAACCCCAATTAATTGATTCCATCCAAAAAAAGAATGTAGCATATTTGGAAATAGTCATACATTAGAATAATGAATTTTATTTTTATTTACAAAATGATATTTACCTGTAAACTAGATATTTACTCAACGTAATGTTTTTCCTCTGAAATGGCATAAACCACAAGCTGTGTTCATTTTAATTTTTTTAAGTTAACACATAGAGTAAGTCTAGTTTCTTTGTCGGTTCTACCTGCTGTCCTTACCTCTGATTTCAATCGACAGGTGTGGGGAAGAGGAGGCGGCCTGAGCCATGACAATGGCGATGCAATGTTGAAGAATAGACTGGAGGAAAGAAGCAACAGGCACCATGGAAAAAACCAAAACAAAGCCAGGTCAGATTTTCCCTTGTCTTACATAAAGGCTCAGGGTTCAAAGAATGTAGGTTTTAGTCTTGTTTCCTACTGTCTCAAAACATGACAATACATTAGCACGACTATTCTCATTCCCCCATCGTCATGTAATGACCATGAAGAACACAGATTTGGCCCTGGAAAATAGGAAATGCTCTACCTAGAATTTGTTCTGAGTTGTTGTATTTCTTAGCAATAGCCTTAGGAGTGTCTTAGAATAACATGCTGTGTAAGGCCAAGACATAGATCCAACTTAGAGACATCTAACAGCTTCTAGACTCACCCGGAGGCAGGAATGTCTTGTCTTTTAATCTGGCCATCTAGAAGCAACCATGGAGAAGTAGGTTCTGTTATTACCTCCAATTTACAGAGGAGGAAATAATTATAGAGCAGTCGGGCTACAACTACAAAGTGTCAAAGTTAGGTCTGGGATCCTCTTTGTTCCTAAGTCCTGGTTCTTGCCATTAGACCAGGCTGTTGGGACACATTATACAATGGGCTAATCTTTACTCAAGCTTGTGAGGGGAATTTGGGTAATCTCAAGCCATCTGGATTTTACAGGGGCGGCTGTCTGTGTGTATAAATTCTGGGATGAGGTTATGTATTGTTTATGAACTTAACATACAGAGGCTGGTTCCTCTAAGGAGGGGTTTCCTGCCCCAGCACGTCTTAGGGGACGGTATACACATCCACTCAACTGAATGTACAAGCTTATTTTCTGTAAATAGCTTTTATAACCTACGACTTCCTTCATGTCTGTCCTGTGTTTCCCAGTCTCGAGTGTGGACAATACTGCCTCTTCTAGCTGCCTCCTCCCCAGAACCTTTCCATTGGCGGTTCCCTTCTATCAGCCCTCTTGCACACAGGGAAACAGGGAAAGCAAGATTCCCTCAGCTGATCCTGGCCAGATCTGAAGTCTGGCAAAGCTCAGAGGTAGGAGTAAGGGACACTTCAAGCAGGCCTCCTGAGACCAGTACATGCTCTGTGAATAGCCACCTTCCTGACTGTGGGACTGATCCCTCAGGTGAACTTTAGTTGGCCTCAAGAATGTGAGGGAGACCCTTCTCGTGCATTCCCTTCTGGCTATTTAATGCCCACTAATCATATGGTTTGGTTGAGTAACCTCCTTGCTGTGACAGAAGGTGGTTTACTGCAAGAGTACGTCAGGTAGATGAGGTTTGATCATTAGGATGTGTGGATATAGATGAAACCCAGCTATACCAGCTTCATTTTTGTTGCTCTTGAGTCATTGCTTGGTTTCTTGTCATGCAGGCACAGACAGAGGATCCTGTAATTTCCCCTCTTCCCTGTATGTATCTGAAGAGGATAGGGAAAGCAGGAGTTGTGTTGACTGATCAAAGCTCTTTCTCCCTACAGGAGAGAATGAACACATGCCGGTGAATAATCCTTCCACGCAGATTTACCAGGTAAAGACAGTAGCTTGTTTCGAATGTTTCCATGCATAATGGTGACGACTCTCCATCCTATATGTACAGAGATGTTCAGCACTCCCAGCGCTTTCACATACATGGATGCATTTTTCTCTTAATAAGACTGTGAGTTAGTCTGGCCGAGGGCATCACCACTCACGGTGTACTTTTGAGAGAACTGACCACCGAAGGACAAGTTAACCAGTTTATAAAATGCAGAACTACCACCACCCCCACCTCAACCCCGCTTCTCTGAGATGGCCATTATCCTGCACAATAACATTTCCATCAGAGAGGAGGAGAGAGTGAGGTCTATATTTTCTAGCTTCCTATTTTAGTAGGAAGAATTGAGAATTGAAAGGAGGTTAAGGGGTGGCGCCTGTGGCTCAAGGAGTAGGGCACCAGCTCCATACACTAGAGGTGGCGGGTTCAAACCACGTCCCAGCCAAAAAAACTGCAAAAAAAAAAAAAAAAAAAAAAAAGAAAAGAAAAAAAGGAGGAGGTTAACATTACAAATGCGCAATAGGAAAAGTTTAAGCTTCTTTTAAAGAAAGGGAATAATTAAATTGACAAAGAAGGTGAAAGTTCTGCAAAAAATCTTTGCAACAAGAATTCTATTGGGCCACTTCACCTCTCTAAATAGTATTTATTCAGCTTCTATTTCCCAAGGTAAATTTAAAGTAATTTTGTTCTCAAAAATTGTGGGAGTTTATTCTGACGTAATTTGTAATTTAAAGGAGCTTGGGCTAGGGACTTCAGGCAGTATTATCTGGAACTCATGAGAAGAAAGGATGGACGGGGCATGGCTGGGTTGGGAGAAAGAGTGACTTAACAGTTGGCTCAAATTTTAAGAAAAAAGAGTGGTCTCTGCAGCATAAGTGTAGGAGTTCAGGGGGACAGTTCAGATAGTTCAGATAGTTTAGGTGAAATGCTATTAGATTTGTTGAGTTAAAGTGGCAGTAAAGTGAAAAAAACAACTAAGTCCCAGAAATATCATGGAAGAGATGGTTGCTGTGAGCCCAATTAGGGCAAGCCAGCAGAGGATTATTAAACATTTTTTTAACCATGCTTCTCCTACACTCAAGACCAGCTATGAGATAGGGTAGAGGAAACAGCTTCATTGCAATTCATTATTGACCAGTTATTAAGTTCAAAGTCTACTGCTTGGCCTAAGGGGAGATTCAACAGATAGTCTCATTAATTTTATGTGCCCACACTTGAAAAACATATAAGCTACAAGGTGAATTGTTCAAAGAATTACAATAGAGGAATTGACAAAATTCTGGTGGGGAGGGATGAATAATATTGACTGGAGGATTTGAACCGGGTACTTAAGGACAAATGGATCATTTGACAAGTGGAAACGGGGAAGGTTATTTCAGGCAAAGGGTCCAACTAGAACAAAGGCCTGGAAGCAGGCGTGATCTTCACTCAGCATTGATTTGATGCCTTCTGGGTCCAACACCTCCAATATTTTCCCTGCACACCTCCCTTCCGTTCACGTGTGACCTGAAGGTGGTGTTTGAATGAGCGTGTGGGGTACCTTTAAACTCAGGTACGATTTAAAGTCTATTATAGGTTTATGTAGGTCACTCCCTGAATGTTAGCTAAATATAGCTGCCGTGGGGGTGGCCTCATTATCTTACCATATCACAAATTCAAGTACATCTGCTCACAGAGGAACACACGAAGCAATGGAAAAGTGAAGTTGGTCTATATGACCTCGGGGACGCTACTCTAACCCCATCCCTGTTTTAAAAGAATACTTCCTAAGCCCCAGTCTGTTTCCTCCAAGCAACATTTAACCAAAAGAAAAAGAAAGAGGAGAAGTAAAGAAAGAAGACAAAGAAGAGGAAAGAGGGGAGTGGGGAGGAGTTAACTATAATAGAATAAAATCTATACTAAAAAGATCAAAGGGGATCTGAAGAAAAATATGAAATGTCAGCAATTCTCCATCTCCTTATTTTATTTTCTTGGTAGATCTCATTCCTACCCAACATCATCATTTATGTCAACTTGTTTCTTTGTTTTTATTGTGTGTTTCCTTATCTAGAATGTAAGCTCTAAGGGCAGGAATTCAGTCCATTTTGTACTCTGTTGTATTTTCAGAGTAAAGCACAGTGCCTGGTATATGACATATATTAAATAAATAACAGCTGAATGAATGAGTGAATGAATATATATGAGTTGTGTACATTGTTTTGAGCCCAGAGGTCTGATGCAGTTATTCAGTGCGGTGCCAAACAGGGTTGGGAAATTGGTTCTTTGGGAAAAAAAAGAAATGCTCCTTACTTCAAACCCTAATCAAAACAAACTCCAAAGTGGATTAAAGGGCTCAGGGCTAGCCACATACACTGAGGCTGGCGGGTTCGAACCCAGCCTGGGCCAGCTAAACAACAACAACTGCAACAAAAAATAGCTAGGTGTTGTGGTGGGCACCTGTAGTTAGTCCCAGCTACTTGGGAGGCTGAGACAAGCGAATCGCTTAAGCCCAAGAGTTTGAGGTTGCTGTGAGCTGTGACGCCACGGTACTCTACTGAGGGCAATAGCTTGAGCCTCTGTGTCAAAAAAAAAAAAAAAGATCAAAATGGATTAAAGAGTTAAACATTAAAAAATCAAACCATAGGCTCGGCGCCTATAGCTCAAACGGCTAAGGCGCCAGCCACGTACACCTAAGGTGGCGGGTTCGAATCCCCAGCCCGGACCCACCAAACAACAATGACGGCTGCAACCAAAAAATAGCCGGGCAGGAGACTCGCTTGAGCCCAGGAGTTGGAGGTTGCTGTGAGCTATAATGCCACGGCACTCTACCCAGGCGGACAGCTTGAGGCTCTGTCTCAAAAAAAAAAAAAAAAAAAATCAAACCATAAAACTTTAGAATAGGTGAATATTTATTTTGCCTCTGATGTTACGTGTCTTTTTAAGTAAAAAAGCACGGAGGAAATATCACATGAAAGGAGTTTGAGGGCTCATCTATGTTACAATTAAAAATTTTTCCAGCACACATACAAAATTTTTTTTTTTTGAGACAAGAGTCTCACTTTATTGCCCTTAGTAGAGGGCCGTGGTGTCATAGCTCACAGTAACCTCAAACTCTTGGGCTCAAGCAATCCTCTTGCCTCAGCCTCCCAAGTAGCAGGGACTACTGGCACCCAGCCACAACAAGGGGCTACTTTTACATTGGAACTCCTGAGCTCAGGCAATCCACCTGCTTGGGTCTCCCAGTAGAGTGCTAGGATTATAAACGTGAGCGACAGTGTAGCCTGGCCTGCCCTTGGTATATATATATTTTTGGAGACAGAGTCTCAAACTGTCACCCTGGGTTGAGTGCTATGATGTCACAGCTCACAGCAATCTCAAACTCTTGGGCTCAAGTGATTCTCTTACCTCAGCCTCTCGAGTAGCTGGGACTATAGGCACTCGCCACAACACCCGGCTATTTTTTTTGTTGTTGTTGTTGTCATTTTTGTTTGACAGGGCCTGAGCTGGGTTTGAACCTGCCAGTCATGGTGTATGTGGCTGGCGCCCTAGCCGCTGAGCTATAGGCACTGAGCAGTGGCTATTTTTAGATACGGGATCTCACTCCAGCTTAGGCCGGTCGAACTTGTGAGCTCAAGCATCCACCCTCCTCGGCCTTCTGGAGTGCTGGGATTACAGGCATGAGCCACCTCGCCTGGCCTCAAAGCAAAAATATTATAGACCAATTCAAATAACAAAAAATGGAAAGATACAAACAAATTATGTCAAAGGTTTAATAATAAATAAATAAAACATGAGAATCAATAAAAATGGAAACTTCCAAGATCCTAGTAGAGGATGGGAAAGAACATAGACAATTTACCAAAATAAAATTACAGATGACTAAAAAAACGAAGAAAAGGTTAAAACTCAAAGAAGCAATGATTAAAATAAGAATTATTATTTGACTACATAATTAGCAAATGACAAAATAATAATATTTAGTTCTGGTAGGTGTGTATAATTGCTCTCCTGGTGTGATATTTTCACCCTTGTTTATTTCATTTTATACGTGGATTATCAAAACTGTAATCCCATTAATAAGAGAGGGGGATCCCATAATTAAGGTGACAGATGTGGTAACTGCATAATTTAGTGCTAACCCAACATTCACACTCATGATTTGAACTCTGTGTTTTAGGCTCACTTGCAGCCTTAGGAATGCAAACACCACAGCTTCCTCCATTTCTATTACTTAAATTTCATATATTTTATCATACAAGATAAGTTTTTCTTCTAAGTCCACTAATTTATGACATATCATATATATATAAACATATTATTATTATTTATTTTTTCTTTTTATAAGAGGAAGGGCTTTATTTCAGTCAGTGGAGGAAATGGTACAGAAGCATTCAAAATGGCCATGCTCTAAACATGTTATTATAACTTTTTAAATCCTCTGGTCAAATGTCTTTTATATAATTATTAATGAAATGAATATATCGCTTCCCTGCAATATAGTACGTAGATTTCTCTTTGAATCAAATATTAACTAACATTTATGACTCCTAGTAATTTTATATTTACAGATTTATCTTAAGGAAATAATCTAAAGAGTGTATAAGACTTTAAATAAAACCTGTAGATGATGGCTCAAGTGGCTAAGGTGCCAGCCACATGAACCTAAGTTGGCAGGTTCGAATCCAGCACAGCCTACCAAACAGCAGGCATGATGGCTACAACCAGAAAATAGCCAGGCGTTGTGGCCGGCGCCTGTAGTCCCAGCTACTTGGGAGGCTGAGGCAGGAGACTCGCTTGAGCCCAGGAGTTGGAGGTTGCTGTGAGCTGTGATGCTACGGCACTCTACCCAGGGGGACAGCTTGAGGAGCTGTCTCAAAAACAACAACAACAACAACAAAAAAAAACCTATAGATGACAGTATTACTTCTAATATTGAAAAGTTACAAACAGCACAAATTTTCAACAAGAGTAAATGGGTAGGTAAACTCTGACACATTCATTGGACAGAATATTATGTAGCCATTAAAAATAGACATTTAGGGTGGTGCCTGTGGCTCAGCGAGTAGGGTTTCAGCCCCATATACCAAGGGCGGTGAGTTCAAACCCAGTCCTGGCCAAACTGCAATAACTAAAAAATAAAAAAAACCCAGACATTTAGAGCCAAACACTGTGGCTTGCAGCTATAATCCCAGTTACTTGTGAGGCTGAGATGGGAAGAAGGCCCCTCTCTCTTGAGGCCAAGAATTGGAGGCTGCAGTGGGCTACGATTGTGCCATTGCACTCCAGCTTGGGCAACAGATTGAGACCCTGACTCTAAAAAAAAAGATATTTAGAAAAACGTTAAAGGCTATGGAAAAGGGCTTATTAGAATCTTAGGGGGGAAATAAAGGAGAAAAAGAGTCAAGATATATTTGCAGTGTGATTTCAACCTCAATAAATATCTGCACTTATATGCATAGAACAAAATAGAAGGAAATGGGAATGTTTAGTGGTTAAACCCAAGTAGTAGGATTTGGAGTGATTCTCTATTTTTTTATTTTTCTCTGTGGTGAAAATAATTTTAGAAAATAAATTACATGCCAAAAGGACCTCTAATTGAAAAATTATGGGAACCATTCCTACAGCAGTAGGTTTTATCGTCACAATTGCCATTGAGGGTTTTCTAGGGTTTGTAAGTCCTGGTTGATCCTGAGTCTCTTTCTGCCATTAAGGAATGTTCTTGTATCACTAGAGAAGTTAACTCTTCTAGGTACGTGGTGCATCCAGGAGGGGTCGGTAACATAAACCACCCCACACCAGGCTTTGCATCAGCTTTAATGAGGGCTTTAAAGGTCCACTTCTGTAGCGAGTGCAGAGTGGATTGGGGAAATTTACTCTTGACATTCAAATACTTGCTGTCCATTTTGTGTTTCAAATCATTGCGTTTCTTTTCTTTCTTTCTTTCTTTTTTTTTTTTTTTTGAGACAGAGTCTCAAGCTGCATCACCCTAGTTAGAGAGCTGTGGCATCATAGCTCACAGCAACCTCAAACTCTTGGGCGTAAGTGATTCTCTTGCCTCAGTCTGCCAAGTAGCTGGGTCTATAGGTGCCTGCCACAATGCCCGGCTATTTTTTGGTTGTAGTTGTCATTGTTATTTGGCAGGCCTAGGCTGGGTTTGGACCTGCCAGCTCTGTGTATGTGGCTGGTGCCCTAGCCACTGAGCTACAGGTGCTGAGCCATCAAATCATTGCATTTCTAGGGATCAATAAAAGAAGCCTAAAATTGGAAGATGGACATTGACAGAAGAACCATGATGCTTTTGTGGTGACCCTACGTTAGGGGGAGGCGAAAGTGATTACATTGGCACATTGCTGTCATTTGTCTCTACTTCCAGACACTTTCGCTTTTGCTCTTACAGTGTTGTATGAATTTGGCGTGCCTTGTGGAAGCTTCCCAAACCTTAACATTTATGACTTTGCAGAGTTCCCAAGGCGGATGTCCAGTCCCTTGAAATTGCCTCCTGGTAGCCTCCTGACCTTGGGAATGTGGCAGAAAGGCAGGGGACGTCTGTGGAAAACACAAGTTGGAATTTGTGAAAGTTAAGTTTGAGGCCTGAGGGAATCTTTGGTAGAAAAACAATTGGGGACACTGATTAAAGGTCATCTTAAGAAGAATTAAGAAGCCAAGAAAGGAAAGAAAATTGAGAAACGGAAGTTAAGAGCAGGAAATAGGAAGAATTCGGACTCCTCTCCCCTATTCTTTGAGCCTAAGATAACCCTCTGTGGTGCCCTAGGCTTTGAAGCACAAGTCTTCCCTGAACCTGCCTCCAGGGGGAGCCCGCCTCCAGCGGCAGGATGGAGGGATCATAACCTCTCTAGATCAGCTTCATGAAAAAATCAACGAGATGGGAGACTCGCTTGCGCCCAGGAGTTGGAGGTTGCTGTGAGCTGAGTGGGCTACGATTGTGCCATTGCACTCCAGCTTGGGCAACAGATTGAGACCCTGACTCTAAAAAAAAAGATATTTAGAAAAACGTTAAAGCTATGGAAAAGGGCTTATTAGAATCTTAGGGGGGAAATAAAGGAGAAAAAGAGTCAAGATATATTTGCAGTGTGATTTCAACCTCAATAAATAT